TTGAAACTGTCCTACCAGTGTGCTTTGAAACTGTCTCATTGCTATTTGTTTCTCAATAAATTTATGGAAAAAAATAAAAGAATTAAAGAGTTAATACATGTAAAGTACTCAGAAAATATCCTGACATACAGTAATCCCATCTAATGGCAACTTATGACTATCATTTTGTCCACCATGATGTCCATTATGTCCAGCATAGTGGACATTTCTTGGGTAAATTTCCTCTTCTATTTTTCTATTTTTATTACAGCGTGTTTGTAGGGCATCATGATTACATTCACTGTGGGGAGTTAGTGTATGTACATAATACATCTTAATTCTTTTTTAATTCCTTCCCTCTCCTCCTTCCCACTCTTGGTCACCATCCAAAGTCTAGTCCTTGTTTCCTGTTGTCTGTCTTTCAATTTGCTTTCTCATCTGATGTACCTAAGCTGTACCCATCCTATCTCTAGCATTTTGTTACAGGGCATGAACCCAGTGCCTCTATTAAAGACCAAACATCTGACTGTGTTAGGGCTCCTCTCCTTTTTTTTTTTTTAATTCACTCTTCTCCTTTTGAGGGAAATCCGTGAAGCAGTTCCCCACCGTGTCCTGCCTTGTGAGTCACTGTGTCATCCTGGCTGTCAGATCTACTTGTACTATTGATCTTCCTTGGCCCACCATGTCCCTTCTCCCTCTTCACCTCTCCTCCCTTTTTACTGCCTCTACTTCCATGTTGCCCAATTTCCCCTAAGCCCACTCCTCTAATGTTTCTTTCACAATGTTTTCATGCAAACTGCTCTCATCAGGATTGACAGTGACCATTATGTGACCAAAATCATGCAAATTTCTTATTTAATTTGGTCTCTCAGTAGGAGGCCAGTTATTCCCTCGAAACATTTCTCTCAATTGGCTCCCAGTGTAGAAAGCCTTGTCTTTCTCTTCTTTTTTCCTTGGCCACTCCCCTTCAGGCTCTTTTTCTGCTTCTTTCTCATATTCTTGACCTTGAAATGCTGCAGGATCTGGGGACCCAGCTACTGGCCCTCTTTTCCTCTCTTCTTACACTGTCTCCCTTGGGAATCTCATCCAGTCTCAAATCTCAAATACCATCTCTAGGATGATGATACCCATAGTTCCATAGTCATATCCTCCTCCTCTAGTAGCCTGAGGAATCACTCTTACTTTCTGCAGAGTTCAGCTCAAATTTCACCTCACAGAGAGGCCTTTCCAAACCACTTTAAATAAAATAACGTATATCTTGGACCACTCTATCTCTTTGCTGTTTTGTTTTTCCACATAGTGCTTTTCTCCCTGTAACACACACTTATTTGTACACTGAAAGCCTTTTGGGAATGGAAATGTTACCTACTTCACAGCGTGTGTTGTATGTGGAAAGCTACTACTAATATTTTTGAATAAATCCATGATCTTACTCTGTTGTGATAATACCCCAACACTCCTATCAGAAAGACTATTAAAGGTGAAGAGGCAAAACCAGGTTAACTCATTGTCACGTAGCTAGCAAGTCAGGCAGCCCACTGTAGAGTACACACCTACCTAGCACACTACGGAGGCCACAAGGAACTGTGGGGTCCTCATCACCCAGGGAACTTTACTAATAAATGAAATAAAATCAGACCTCCATGTGCAAACATCGGATTGTGTTGTTTACATGAGAATGTGAAAGTAAATATAATCTGAAAGGTGAAATAAATACTGTGAAAGGGAAAGGATTTGTTCAATGGGAAGAAAAATCTTGGATGAGGAAAAGGACAAAAGAAAGAAGGGAAAAATAAAAATCTATACATATATCTATGTATAGATGCAGGATAACTTGGATAGTTGTACTGTTGATTTCTGCTGGTCTTTTGAAAGGAGCAGCTAATGTTTAAAATTCTCTTTTTTTCTTTTTAATTTCTTTTAACTCTTTTGTTATTGTTTATTTCTTTTTCTAAAATTCAATTTCATTTTATTTTGAAGACTAAAAACAGAAACAAAACCAAATAGAAAAAAAGACAGAAACAGGATAACATACAACAATGCATATGCCATAGATTTTCAAATGTTTCTCTCTGTCTCTCT